TAGTATTCCATTGTGCGAATATACCACAGCTTCTCTAGCCATTCGTTTGTTGATGGGCACTTAGGTTGTTTCCAACTCCTTGCTATTGTGAACAAAGCTTCAATAAACATGGGTGTGCATATATCTGCTTGGATGTCAGCTGTCCTCATTCTAAAAAAAGGTGATCCAATGAAAAGAGAAGAATGATCCAAAATTATCATCACTGTCATACACAAGTAAAATTTTGCTGAGGATACTTTAAAAAATGGTTGCAGCAGAAAAACTATGAGGAAGATGTTTGTGTTTTGTTGACTATGCATTAGTCCTTGGAGGTTTGTGGAGAAAAGTAGAAGCTGTCAAGGATTTCATTTTACTTGGATCGATTATCAACACCTATTAAAGCAGCTACCAAAAAAATATCAGTCAACTGATGTATTGCATCGGGCAAATCTTTCACAGAGAAAAAGTGTTAATAAGCAAAAATATTACCTTGAGAACCAAGGGTGGTTGATTCAATCCGTGATATTTTTAGATGGCAGTTGGCAGCACCATAATAGATGGAGAAGAGATTGAGGTTGTTAGTAATTACAGCTTGCTTGGATCTACAGTCAACACTCTTAACACCAGCAGTCAGGAAATCAAAAGACGAATTGCATTGGGAAAATCTGCTGTTATGGACGCTGAAGAGCAATGATGTCAGTCTGGATAAAAAGGTGCACCTAATCCAGGCCATGGTTTTCTCAGTTACTTGTTATGCTTTAGAAAGTTGTACAATGACTAGGGGTAACAGAAGAAGGAAAGATGCCTTCGAGTTGTGGTGCTGGAGGAGTCTTGAACGTACAATGGACTACCAAGAAAACAAATAGGTCTCTTGGAGAGGGTGAAACCAAGTTTCTCCTTGGAGGCTAGACTTTTGAAGTTCTGCCTCACTTACTTTGGGCACGTGGCCAAGAGAGATCGGTCCTTGGAGAAGGACATCATGCACGGAGGGTGGACGGACAGTGCAGGAGAGGGAGACCCAGGATAAGATGGATTGATATGGTAACTGAGGCAATGAGGTTTGATGTGTCGAAGCTAGTGAGACTGGCTTAGGACAGGGAAGAGTTCAGAGCTGTTGTACATAGGATCACTGTGCATCACAGGTGACTCAAACAATAAAATACTATGACAATTTTGGAAGCAGAAGTGGCATCCACTTCCTAAACAACTTGCCTCCTGAAACTCTATGAATTTTAATAAATGTTGATAATTGTAAAGGGGCTTCAGGCCTTTTGTTCATTGGATTGCTATGAGTAGTGCTCGACTTGAAGGCAATCAATAGTAACATATGCTTGTAAAAATTAGACAGTGAATAAGGAAAACTGAAGAATAATTTGAATTATGATCTTGGCAAAGAATATTGAACATACTGTGGACTATTGAATATACTGTGACAGATCTGTTTTGGGTGAAGTACAGTCAGAATGGTCTATAAAAGTTAGGATAGAGAGCCTTTATCTCATATGCTTCAGACATTTTATCAGGAAGGGCCAGTCCCAAGAAAATTATGTTAATGCTTGGTAAGGTGAAAAAGAAAACAGTCCTCACTGAAGTGGATGCAGCAGCTACAACAGGTTCAAACATAATCACAATTGTGAGGCACTATTTCTGTTGAGTGTGGGGACATTATGAGTTGGAACTGACTAAATGGCAGCAAACAACAATGTGAAAACGTGAAAGATTTCTGGGTGGCACAGATGGTTAAGGACAGGACCACTAGCTTGAGGTTGGTGTTTGAGCCCATCTATGGGCAACTTGGAACACCTGCCTGTGATCTGCTTTGGAAAGGTAACAGCTTGAAAACTCTTTGGAGCAGTTTTACTCTGTATGCCTGAGGATGCTGGAATTAGAATGGACTTGAGAACAATGACACCAAACGGAGACCTATCTCCGTGTGTCTGTTTATAAAGTGAGCTAACTAACTTCTCATCCTGTCACACCAAGAATCCTCCAGAAACCAGTCTTGGGACAGGTGCTGGGCTGGAGAAGTGGGGCTGCTTGCTTGATTCCCCAGACCCTGGACATAAGTGCACACTCCCAATGTCCATTCAAAAGAGGAAATGCAAGAAGCAATCCTTCAAGGCTAGACAACCTCAGGTAGACCAGAAAGAGCCCCGAGTCCAGTCTGCAGCCTGCAAATGACTCCTACTGGCCATGTCGGGTCCTGCCCCCTTGGGAGTCCCACCATACTGCCTTAATGTCAATCAAAAGAAAATTATAGAATGTTAGTGACAGGAAACAGACCCCAAGCTCTGAAAGGCAAACTGTATTTTCAAGCCTAAGCAGATGTCTTAATCACATCTGAGGCTAGGTTAGTGGAGGTCTGGTGCCATTCTCTCGGGGGCTGGGGCCTCCTCTGTCTGTCCCCGCAGGCAGTGAGGAAGCCCTGAGCTCCAGCGCCAAGTGTCACTGGGTGTTGAGTTTCTCAAGGTGAGGCCCCTCATGGTGCCCGGGGTGCGATCCCTGGGGGCTTGGGGCCAAGCTGCCACTTCTCCATGAGGTTCTGTGCACTGTGGTTTGAGAAGCACTCGGGCTTTTACTGGGCTAGTTAGCCAGTTCTGGCAGGGACCCCCTGCCCTGGCTTCTTAATAAGGAGTGAGCTCACATGCCTCAGATCGTGAGCCATCACTAACCTCCTCAGACAGAACTGGACTTCTCATGCTTACTAGGTGGGCACATACATTTCTAGGAATTCCCACCAAAGTAATTTGTTAATCAGGGTTTCAGGACCCTTTGAAGTCCCTTAGTGCAACACTGAGTTCTCTCTTAACTTCAGGCAGAAAGGTGGTAACGAGAAACTGCACGGAGAATGGCTGGTCAGAGCCACACCCTCTGTACGATGTGGCTTGTTTATTTGGGGACTATGAAAACGAGACTGGGGACCAGGTGAGTATGAGGTCTTCCAGCTGAGGGGTAGGGTTGAAGGGGCAGGTCTCTGGGAACTTTGGCTCCTGGTGAGCATTGAGCACACTGATTTCTCTGGGTGGTATATACCATTCAGCCAGATCTCATAAGCACCAACTGCCCAAACCAGATGCACTGAGGATAGGATGTTGATTCATTCAGCCTGGGCTGAGAATCAGCTGGTATGTGGCCAGAGTTCCCCTCTGCCACCTCCCTCCCCTGTGTCCCTGCCACCCTGGCGCCTCTCCCGGGAGACCTGGTCTCCAAATGAATTGAAGTAATTAAAGAGTTAATGCTAGCTCCAGCAGGAAGCCTTCTGGCCCCTTCTCTAACTCTCAGACTGGCGCCTGTTCTGATTGATCAGTGCCCCTCATACTAGACTATCATCCTTGCGTTCAACATTCATTAAGTCTCTGCTCCGTGAATGGCATTGTCCAGAGGAGGAAGTAGCTGAGTGCAGGTAGGGACTGTCCAGTGGAGGTAGAGGCGCTCATGGGGACATGGAGGAGGTGAGATTGGGAGGAGAGGTTGGTAATGGGCTGGAGATGGTCAAGTCTTACCCTTAGAGATTGGCTTGGTTCCAAAATGGGGAGAAGGGAGGACTGGGTATGGTTCCAGGGGGAGCTTAGGTCCCCTGGCCCGTGTAGGGCACCACGTGGATCCCTGTACACCCTGTACCCTGCTCCAGGACTACTACTACCTGTCTGTGAAGGCCCTGTACACAGTGGGCTACAGCACATCTCTTGTCGCCCTCACCACTGCCATGGTCATCCTGTGTCGCTTCCGGTGAGATACCCCCTCGCCCGGCAAAATCGACACGCCTGAGACCCTCCCCCTGCTCGGAGCTAGTGGTAGTGGTCTTACTCTGTCTTTCCCTACCCTACTGGCTTCCCTGATGTCAGGTGTGGAAGGCCCTTTGGAAGGAATTTTTCCCACCCCTGGGGTAACAGATAGAAAGCTCGACCCCAGACAGGACAGTTTGTCCAAGATAGAACTCAGGCAAGGACGGATGCCTGCCTTCTTCACCTTTGGTCTAGGGCTCTTAGTCTGCCTTATAGAGGGGTCTTTGAGGAGGGAGGAACTGGGGCTTTGTGGAGCAGTAGAGGCAGAATGCAGGATCCAGGAAGCAAGTAAGAATCTGCAGAGGGAGAAGAGAGGATGGTCTAAGTGGGGGATCCCAGTGTGACAACACCATGAAGTTGGCATGGAGCAGTCCCCAGAGCCCAGGTTTGAAGTGCTTCTGGGTTTATGGCTTCCTCTGCCCCTGTCCGCTTGTGTAGGAAGCTGCACTGCACTCGTAACTTCATCCACATGAACCTTTTTGTGTCCTTCATGCTGAGGGCCATCTCCGTCTTCATCAAGGACTGGATCCTGTATGCAGAACAGGACACCCACCACTGCTTCATCTCCACCGTAAGTGAGCAGGGCCAGTACCTGGACGGGAGGGTCCAGACCAGAGGCTGGCCTGGGGGACCCCTCCCAGGGCCTCCACCTCCCCTTAGGAGGACCTCCCTTCCCTTTCTTGCTTCAGGCGACATCATCCCAGTGTTTTCTTAAAGAATGGGGCACTGCCTCCAGTTTATAAGCAAACCTTAAGCAACCCGTGAAGCTATTAAAAATCAAACCAATACCTTGCCTGTCAGTTCTGGCCTGGCTCGGCCATTGTGTGTCAGGATAGAGCTGTGCCCAGAAAGTCTTCACTGGGTGTCCAGCTACTTCAGAGGTAAATCACCAGGTGCTCCCAAGGAGCCTCCTGGTGGACCCAGACTGCTAGCCTTTGTGTTAACTGCTGAGCACGTTAACTGTTGCACCACCCAGAAACTCCTGTGACATTTTCTGTAGTTACTAAACCTCTGTCCAATATCATTTCTAGCCAAAATAATACCCATGTCTCTGGTGCACACTGCCATTGGCAGACCTTAAGGAAGGCTGGACGGGAATGCCAATTTTCACTTGACTGATGAGGTAATAGACTTTAGAGAGAGCTTGACCGGTTCCGGGTCCCACAGCAGACCCATGCCGGAGCTGATTTTCTGATTTCCTTAGATTCTTGCCAGGACATCTCTGACACTCCTATCTCTGGAGGTTGTTGTTGTTGAGTACCATTGAGTCGGAACCCAGTGGGATTTCAGAGGCAGTAAATCTCAAGGGAGGAGATTGCCCATCTTTCTCCCATGGAGCACCTGATGGATTCGAATGGCATGCCTTTGGGTTACCAGTGCAGCTCCTTGCCATTAAGCCACCAGCTCCCCATCTCGGGCGGTGGTGGCACATAAATAACCTCTTTATGGTAGCATAGAAAGAACAGTGTAGAGTTCACAGCCTTGTGCTAGGAGTGCATGCTTTAATGGATTGAAATGGGTTCATGGTAAATAGATTTGGGTGGTGGTGGTGAGATCTATGAGAGAGATTCCTGGGGGGAAGGGTTTGTCCCACCCATGCAATGTCTGCATCTTCGTTATACCAGGGACCCTCCCACGGGGACCTTGTTGTTTCCCTTCCCTCTTGCCTCACCTGGGGGACTGTTGGGTGGGCAGGAATATGGGGGAGAATGAATGTGCACGGCTGATGGTGGGAAGGGGACTGTGTTCCTCCACCCTCACGTCGCCAGGTCTCACCTGTGCAGTTGTTCTCCATGGAGAGTTTCCGCTTACAGGGTAATATGTTGTAACATGAAGCTCTTGAGATCAGAGATTGTTGGCTCTCGGCTCCGTTGGCTGGTGGAGCCCTCGTGTGCCAGAGTTGACGGGCCAGCCTGGTATCTTGGAGCTGACCCTCAGGCTCTCCCTACAGGTGGAGTGCAAGGCCATCATGGTTTTCTTCCACTACTGCGTGGTGTCCAACTACTTCTGGCTGTTCATTGAGGGCCTGTACCTCTTCACCCTGCTAGTGGAGACCTTCTTCCCTGAGAGAAGATACTTCTACTGGTACACAATTATTGGCTGGGGTAGGTTGCTTCTCATGGCAGGACAGACTTTCGGCCTCATGACCAAGTGCGCCCTTGGCTCTCCTGGGCAGAGCCAGACTGTTGGTCCTTCAGGCCTTCTGCTCTCATACCTTCAGGAATTGCCCACAGTCTTGAGGGAGGAAATATGTTCAGGAGTCCATCTAAAAGGCAAGGTTTTGCCCTGCTTGTAGGAACTCTGGGCCTGAGGGGAAGCACTGCAGCCATGAGTGCTGGGTCAGAGGGACTGGTTCTCAGGAAGCCCGGGTCTGAGTGGGAGGCTTGTCTCATCCATCAGATTCCAGGTGTAGGTAAGGAGAATGATAGCTTCAAGGGACCCTGAGTATGAAGGGTACACTTGGGAATACTAGCATTTTCCTACTATTTTGAGGCTCCTTTTCTTGTTCTACCAGGTACCCCAACTGTATGTGTGACGGTGTGGGCTGTGCTGAGATTCTACTTCGATGACACGGGGTGAGTAAGTACACGTCTGTGCGCCAGGGTCCAGGGCACACATGGCTTCTTCCAGAGGAATTCTCAGTGGCTGGCCTGACCTCAGTGTAATGGTCTCAAACCAGCCATCCGGCACTAGACCCCTAGCAGTGGGCACTGATAGAGCTTGAACACCATGTCAGGAGACCTGCCCAGATATCCTAACAGAGCTCAGTGAGAGAGCATACCAGCCTTCAGAGCCCTGCTCACTCTGGGGCCTTGGTCAGAGTGTCTGTTTTCCTTTTTAAAAGGGGAGGAATAATATTGAAGGTGAAGCCACACTCCCTGAGAGCTCTAGTTGTTGGAGAAATAAGGTTCTTTGCTCAAATCTCATTGGAGAGCCCCAGCTTGGGCTCTAGGTCTCTAGTCCCTGATCTTTCTCTCCCATGGCTATGTGAAGGGGCAGTGCATTGGAGATGCCTTAACAAGGGAGCAGAGGGAAGGACCAAAGCTCATGTCAAGGGCACTTGGGGAAAGAAGACCGGGCCGGGCTGCCTGAGAGCTCTCCTGCCAGCTGGCACACACACAATGAGCTGCAGGAGAAGGTCAATTGCAGGGAGTAGAGGGCATTGTCCTGCTGGTGTCCTGATCTCTCTCTTCTCTGTGTGTATCTTCTTTGTCTGTCCATCCTTTAGCTGCTGGGATATGAACGACAACACGGCTCTGTGGTGGGTCATCAAAGGCCCTGTGGTTGGTTTGATAATGGTGAGTGTGCCTGGGAGGAGGAGAAGGGAGGAGACAGTAACCCAAACTGAAAGGCACACAGAGAGAGCAGATGGAGGAGCATCACATAAATCAGCTTCTTCCTTTTTCAAGGCTGCATTGTACTCTATTAGTTATTTGCCTTTCCCACAAGTGTTAGAAGGGAGCTCTACAGGCCTAGTGGTAAGGAGCTATGCTGCCAACCTGAAGACTCGTGGTTCGGATCCACCAGCTGCTTAAGGGAAGAAAGATTGACAGTCTCTTCCTGTGTAATTCACTGCCTCTGGATACCTGCTGGAGGCTCAGCTTAGAGTTGATTCTAACTCCATGGTACAACAAGTGTTGGACAGTTTAATGATTCCATTTTCCTTATTATGAGATATATTAGCAGGAATATTTTTGTATAATTTTGAGCCTATGTGAATATTTCTTTAGTATAAAATATCAAATTACCTTCCTAAATTGTTTAAGCACTTATAACCCCATCATAAGGGTAGAGCCCATTTCCCCATATGTCAGGGTGTGTGTGTGTGTGTGTGTGAGAGAGAGAGAGAGACACCTGTTGCCATGGAATGGATGCCATCTCATGGAGACTCCATGTGTTACAGGACAGTGCTGTTCTACCAGGTTTTCTAGTCTATAATCTTTATTAATAATTTCTTAATCAGGCCATTCTTCTATGGCACAATTGTGAGAATTTCAACTCTCAATGTTTAGGATAATGCTAAGGACAAACTACTTGTGCCATTTTTAATTATCATCTAAATTTTTGCCTCATTTTGTGGTAGCATAATGGTATTTCATTGTTTGAATAGGCATTTCTCCATGCTGGTATTACTTATGAGTGTTTCTCTAAACATTTATTGACAATTTGAGTTTTTGCTTTGGGTGTTACCAGTTTCTTTTTTCTTCTTCATTTTCTAGGGAAAAAAAAGAAAGAAAAAATAGTTTCTTTTCTGATGTTTGGACAATAGTAGACCTTCATATTTTCCATGTATTTATAACTTTATTTTAAGGATGGCTTAGCTTTTATGACAATTTTTTGTGTTCATGAATTCTGAGCCTTAGTTCTTGTATATGGAGGACTTTCTTAGTAGCTAAAAGATAAAAATATTCTTAACTGTTTCACAGTATTGTTGTAATTACATATTTATTTTTTAAATTTTTAAAATTTTCTACTAGTTTATATACAAAATTTGAGTACATTGTTTTTAAGAACAAATTCTTTCAGTTTACCTCATCCCCCACCCATCAAGTTGTACAACCCCATGATTAATCCCCCCTTCCCCTACACATCTTCATCCCTCTGCTTCCAACCTTTCCCACCCCTCTTGAATCCTTATACTTATTCTACAATAATGGTTTTATACAGTATTTATTCTTTGGGACTGAGTTAGTTCACTCAGCATAATTCTCTCCAGTCCCTCCCAAGTTAGGTAATAATTTACAAAGTCATTGCTTCTGTGGGCTGCATAGTATTATTCCACTGTGTGAATGTACAATAATTACTCAATCCATTCGTTTGTGCTTGGACATTTGGGCTGTTTCCATGTTCTTGTGATAGTGAATAATGCTGCTGTGAACATTGGTGTACAATCTTGGTTTGTTCCTCAGTTCTCATTTTCTCAGGGTATATTCCAAGTAGTGAAATAGCTGAGTCATATGAAATTTCTGTGTTCAGCTTTTTGAGGAAGTCCCAGAGTGGTTGTACTATTTTACAATCCCACTAACAATGTGTAAGAGTTCCTTTCTCACCATATCGTCTCTAATATTTATTACTTGCTGTCCTGTTAAACTTTGCCACTGTTACTGGAGTGAGATGGTAGGTACCTCATTGTGGTTTTGATTTGCATCTCTTCTGTTGCCAGTGATTTGGAGCATTTCTTCATGTATCTGTTTACCGTTCAGATATCTTCCTCTGTGAAAATTCTTTCCGTGTCCTTTGCCCATTTTGTCATTGGGTTATCAGTCTTTTCCTTGTGGAGATCCACGAATATTCTGTAAACTTTTGTTAGAAGACTCTTGTCTGAGATGGTTTTACCAAATGTTTGTTCCCAGTCTGGAAGTTTTCTTTTCACCCTGTTGGAAAAAGGTTTTGATGAAAACATGGATTGATCTTTTAGAAGGTCCCATGAATCAATTTTATCCTCTTTAGATTGTATATTTCTGGTTGTATTTGGCAGTCTCTTTATACCTTGGACTAAGCACTTCTAATCTTGATCCAAGTTGTCTCTTATGAGCGTTATGGTAATTCACCATGACCAAATGGGATTCATAACAGGTATGCAAGGATGGTTCAACATAAGAAAAACAATCAACATAATTCACTATATTAACAAAGTAAATAACAAGAACTATATGATCTTATCAATTGATGTAGAAAAGGCATTTGACAAAACCTAACACCTCTTCCAGGTAAAGATACTCAGAAAAATTGGAATAGAATTTCCTCAACATAGCGAAAAGTATATATGAAAAACCAAAAGCCATCATTCTCAATGGAGAAAGACTAAAAACATTTTCCTTGCAAACAGGCACCAGAAAAGGATGCCCACTGTCACCACTTCTTTTCTTTTGTATTGGAAGTTCTTGCTAGGGCAATACGACAAGAGAAGGAAATAAAAGGCATCCAGAGTGGCAAAGAGATGGTTAAACTGTCTCTATATGCAGATGATATGATAGTGTACACAGAAAAACCCAAAAACTCAACCAAAAAATCCCTGTTAGAGTTAATAGGCCAATTTAGTAGAGTGGCAAGATAAAAGATCAATATTAAAAAATCAGTAGGATTCCTCTACAGTAACAAAGAGAACTCAGAGAAGGAAATCAAGAAATCAATACCATTTACAGTTGTTGTTGTAGTTATGTACTACCGAGTCGCCTGCAAGTATGTGCAATAGCCCTAAACCCTGCTCTATCCTGTGTTAATTTCACTGTCTCCGACACACCTACCCCCATTACCCCAGTCAGTGAATCAGTCCCTCTCATCGAGGGTCTTCCTCTCCAGTGCCGTCCCTTCACCTTCTCAAGCATGACGTCCCTCCCCAAGGACTTGTCCCTCCTTGCAATATGTCCAGAGTATGTCAAACAAAACTTTAGAATCCTTGCCTCCATTTAAAATAGCCAAGCACAAATTGAGATACTTGAGAGTGAACTTAACTAGAGATACAAAAGACCTATACAAAGAAAACTACAGAACATTTCTGCAAGACACAATAAAAGATCTAAAGAAACAGGAAAATGTGCCCTGTTCGTGGATGTTGATGTTGTTGTTGATTGCCTTCAAGTCGAGCATGACTCACAGCAACCCTATTAACAGCTTTATGGATATTGTGAAAATGACAGTCCTACCAAAAGCAATCTTCATGTTCAGTGCAATCCCAATCCAGATACCAAATTAATTTTTCGAGGAGATTGAAAAGGAAATTACCAAATTTATTTGGAAAGACAGGAGACCCGGAATAAGCAAAACACTTCTGAGAAACAAAAATGAGGTTGGAGGCATAGCACTCCGTGACCTCCAAACCTACTACATAGCAGTAGTAACCAAACCAGCATGCTACTGGTACAATGACAGGCACATAGACAAATGAAACAGAATTGAGAACCCAGAACTAGATCCAGCTATCTATGGTCAAGGAAATCAAAGCTATCAAATGGGGAAATGATAACCTCATCAACAAATGGTGCCGGCAAAACTGGACTTCCACCTGCAGAAAGCTGAAACAGGATCCATATCTCATATCATGCACAAAAATCAACTCAAGATGGATCAGAGACCTGGGTGTAGTTAAATCTTTAGTAGTATTAGTCTAGCTGAAATTTTATTTTTTTTTTGTCAGGTGTAAAATGTTAGCTGATTTTATTTTTCTAAGTGCATATATGTCCTATCTTCCCAATAATTTTATTGACTAGTTCCTCCTATCTCTGTTAGGGTAAAATGATATTTCTAGCATGAACATTTAGTGTGCTAAACTTGCCTTATTAGTTCCATATTCTCAAATCTGTTAGTAATCTCATTACCTATGTCTCTGTCACATACTCATTGTGCTAGCTATTACAACATCAAAGTATGCTTTGATATCTTGTATGTTTATTTCCCTTTCACGATTTTTTCTTCCATTTTTTTACATGTTTATGCTTCTAGTTGAGCTTTTTAATGCCTTTACATTAAAAAACATCTAGTTGAGATTTTGATAGAAATTGCATTGAATTGGTAGACTATTTTGTTGTTGTTATATGTCATCAAGTCACCTGAAACTCATAACAGGACTATGTACTATATAGCTTTGAACCCTCCCCTATTCTGAGCTGATCTCACCACCGTTACCCCAGTTACTGTGTCAGTCCATCTCATCTGGGGTCTTCCTTTCTTGAGCTACCCCTCCACCTTTCCAAGCATGACACCTTCTCCTAGGACTGGTCCCTCCTGGCAACATGCCCAAGGTATGTTAAACAGAGTTCAAAATATTTGCCTCCAAGGAGCAACTTTATTTCACTCTCTCTAGTACAGACCTGTTTTGTTTTGTTTTGTTTTCTTGGCAGTCCATGGTATATTCTTCTTCAGCACCATAACTCAAACTCTTCTTCTATCATTCTTATTCATTGACCAGCTCTCTGATGCATAGTAAGTAGCTGTGAAGACCATGGCTTGGATCAGGCACTCCTTAATCTCTAGACTGACATCTTTGCTCTTCAGCACTCTAGAGAGGTCCCTGACAGCAGATTTTACTCATGTGATTCATCTTTTGATGTCCTGACTGCTGATTTTGAGAGTTAGATTAGACTACTTTAGAGAATTGCTTTTCTTCAAATACTGGGAGTTCCTCTCAGAGGATAGAGAATGTATTGCTCTCACGTACTAAGTCTTCTTCTCTAGGGTGGTTTTGGTGAGCGTTTCTAGATTTCTTTCTTGTTAAGTGTACTTCTCAGGTGTTTTGTGGTATAGTCCATATCCAGTTGTGCTGTTAACCTGAAGACAGTACTTCTCCGGCATTTCAAATCTGCCCGTTGCTCCAAGGGAGAAAGATGAGCGGTTTACAGCCTCCAAAAATCCACTGGAGGGTCGGCTGTGAGTGGTTCTGACTCAAAGGCATTGAGATTTTTTTGTGATCATTCTGTATTTTTGCTGACGTAAAAGTAGCTATACTCCATAACTATCCAATTTTTGTGTAATTATTATTTTCTTGGTTATCTTTCTATGCTTTTCCTAGTTCTAATTACTTTTCATTTATTCTCATGGATTTTCTTGGTAAAAAAAAATTGCACAATTTCAATAGAAATAGTTTATGTACTTCCTTTGGAATATTTTTACACCTTTAATTTCTTGTTCTTTTTGATGATATAATAGTATCTTTGGCAGATAAAAATGTGATATGATTTGATGTTTTGACGGTTGACCTTCATTGAGTTAGGAAATTTCTGTGCCTAACCTATTTTGGCTGTTTTGTGGATTGTTTTGTTTTTGAAATAAAGAATAGGTGTTGAATTTTATCCCAATGTGGTTTGGAGATATTTCTTGAAATGATCATTCCCCTGGGGACGGACATTGTGATTCCAATTGTTCTTTACTGAGAGCAATATGACAGTGAATATATATGTGACTACCTTTGACCATGTGTGCATATTTCTTTAGGATAAATTCATGAGAGTAAAATTTCTGGGACAAAAGATGAGTGTACATTTCACACTTTTCACAGATAACATAATGCTCTCCAAGAGCAGGGAAGGCTCAAAAGTCCCAATTCCCATGCCCGTCAGCATTTGTATCACATTGTTTTGGTGTATACCAATAAAACAGATGATAATGGTAGTTTATTGTTTTAATCTGTTAGTGTAACAGATATTATTAGGTATTTTGTGTGTTTTTTGTTTTATTTTTTACCTTCCTGGGATAAAACACTGATCTGTTTATTCTTTTAATACACTGTTAAATTATATTTGCTAAGCGAGCCCTGGTGGCCTAGTGGCAAGAAGCTGTACTACAATCCCAGAGGTATGTGGTTCAAATCCACCAGATGCTCTGCTGGAGAAGGAGGGACAATCTCCTCCTGTACCAGTCAGATCCGATTTGACGATGCACGCAAAAAATAATAATAAAATAAAAAATAAAAATATTTAAAACAATTTTAATTTGTTAATCTTTTGTTTAATTTCTCCATTGCTGTTCGAACGTTTTGGGGAGATAGGCGCGCATACGTGCGTGTGTGTGTGTGTGTGTGTGTGTGTGTGTGTGTGTGAGAGAGAGAGAATGAAAGAGAAAATTTTTCTCCTTTGGATTTTGTAGCAGCGTTAGATGTTCTCATGGGTAGGTATTGGGAGATTTTCTGCTTATTTGCTTTGAACAGTTCTGTTGTGTTGTTATGTGTCACAGAATAGATTATGACTTATAGCAACCCTTGAACAACAGATCTGAACCCTGCCGTCTTCTGTGATGTGCTTGTGGTCTCTGTCCGGCTCAAGCCCACTGTGGTAGTCGCTGTGTCAGTCCAGGTCATTGAAGGGTCGACAGCATGAAACTAATACCTCCCTTGACATTTTATGAAAATCGTCTACAAAATCTGGCCACAGTGCCTTTTAGCATTTTCTTTGAGTACCTTTTTTCATCCGAAAACATTGGCTTACTCAGCTTTTCTTTATCTTCTTGAGTAATTTTGTTCATTCCTATTTTTCCATTTGCTCTATTTTCCTTTTTATGATTTAAAAATAGTCTGCATCAGTTGCCTTAGCCTTCTTTCTCATTCCTAAATTTTTTTTTATTCCTAAATTTAATTGCACTTTCTCCATTTTGATAGGTGGACACCTATCAAATATTTATAACAGTATTCATGGAGATGGATCCATGTGTTTATAAGAATATATATACATTGAGCAGTATTCTAGAACATACAGAACAAAATGTCAGAATCCTGCCCTCTGCTAACTTGCTTTCTTTTCGAGTTGATTTGTAAAGCAAGCAAGCCAAGAACAAAAAATTCAGACATTATTTCTATTGATCAAGTCTATTATTACTCTAATAGGAATTTTTATTTTGTCCATTTCTTCTTCATTTATATGATAAATTTGTAGTGATTCCGCTCCCATAGCAGTTTCGTGTGAATGAGTAATGATTTCATTTACAGTCATTTTTGTTTTCCAGTAAGTTAACTTTAGGTTTTCTCTTTCTCGCCGAGTAATACTTGGGCCACATCCCAGAGATGTGGATTTGTACTTCTCTCATTGTACCAGTTTCTTTTTATTTGTTCTCTCTCTGCCCTCCCTTTTCACTGTAAACTTGGCTCCCTACTTTGTTTAGAGAGCTTCTGTTCCTAATCCTTATCTGGAGGCAACTCCTGCCATCACTATTTCCAGGTAGGCCTTTGCTTTGAGGTGGATGGACAGAGTGGCAGCAGCAATGGACCCAGCATAGCAGTGATTGGGAGCATGGCACCGGACCCCATGGTGTGCCATTCTGTTGTGCCCAGAATCTCTATGAGTAGGACTGGCTCCATTGCACCCACTACCAACAAAATGTGGGTTCCCCTTCCTGTTCCCATAGTTCAGGACTCTGAACTAGAATTTTTTTTTCTTTCAGGGGACAGCTTTCACCTCTGCAATAGCTTCCTCTCTCTTCTATAGTCTTTCCACTCTGAATTGTTCATTGTTGTTGTTATGTGCCGTCGAGTTGCCTGCGACTCATAGCGACCCTATGTACAACAGCCTTAAACTCCGCTCTGTCCTGTGCCAATCGCACTGTCTCTGACACTCCCATCCAAATTATCCCAGTCACTGAATCAATCCACCTCATAGAGGGCCTTCCTCTCCTGCGCCGTCCCTCCACCCTCCCAAGCATGATGTCCCTCTCCAAGGACCCGTCTCTCCTCACTACATGTCCGAAGTAAGTTAGACGGAGCCTCAGAATCCTTGCCTCCAAGGAGCCACCCGGTTTAACCCTCTCCAGGACAAATCTATTTGTTTTCCTAGCAGTCCATGGTATTCTCAGTACTCTTCTCCAGCACCACAGCGCAAAGGCATCAGTTCTCCTTCTATCCTCTTTGGTCATTGTCCAACTCTCTGATGCATAACAGGTGATTGCGAAGGCTATGGCCTATAAATCCATAAATTACTCAGTTTTCCAGATTACACAGGATACTCTTTCAATTTCTCAGTACTGCTATGGACTTCTTTTTCTCCTGTTTTCTGCTGTTTCAGTGGTATTGGTGGAAGCTGGGGAGATGGGAAATGAACAGGTATTCTCCTGCTGCCATTTTTAATTACAAGTAGGGTAGGGGGTACTTTCGTTTGATAGTAGCCTATACAGGAGCAGGACCATAGAAAGCCTTTGCCCTGAATCATTTCCATCTGTTTTTTCTTTGCTTTCAGATTAACTTTGTGCTTTTCATTGGCATCATCGTCATCCTTGTGCAGAAACTTCAGTCTCCAGACATGGGAGGCAACGAGTCCAGCATCTACTTGTAAGTACTATTTTCTACATGCTTCAAACTCTTCCACCAGTCTTGTGGACTCCGCTCTCAGGTCAAAAGCAGGTTAAAGCCTGAGCTTTGACAGGTTAATTTTGAGATCTTTTCTGACCAAAGTGCCTTCAAAATAGAGTTGCCCTCTCAGCCTCCAGTCAACCCAGGAGCTCCTAATTGACATGAAAGGGAAAAGAGAGAATGAGACGGACAGATACAGCATGACTCTGGGATAATCAAGATGGGAAACACTAGATTCCCTAGGGTTATTAAAGCCTTGATTGTTTAGAAGTTAATTTCCTTTGGGGATCTGGCTTCTGTGGGAAGTTCGTGAGCACTACTGGATAAGCAGTCCTCTGATATCCCCAGGCCCATTCCAGTGTGTAGAACTTGCTCGGGGCTCACTTGGAGATCTAAAGTCTCAGTAGTCTGTATATGGTAAGGGAGTGAGTCTTTCTTTTCTCTGCATCAACTCCAAATGGCTCTTCTGCATTTGACCTACCTCTGAAACCTCCTTCAGCAATGAACAACAATGCCTCTGAGTTGGAACTGAATCATCTCTGGTCATCCAGTGGGTTTTCAGACACTCTAAATTGCACATCTTTATTCCTCAGACTAGCTAGAAGGTTGACAGTGTTTGCAGACAACCTCTTGACACTGAGTGTAGGCTCTTTTCTTTTCCTGGCCACTTGATTTCCTAGACATAGTTTTGGAAGATCGTCCTTAACACTTTATCTATGGGAATGTCTTCCCTTCTTTGCTTTTTTTGATCCCTCTCCCCAGCACTAGTCCTGATCTGAAATCCCACAGGACTCCTCCACCTCCCCAACAGGATTATTACCAGCAGGGGGTGTGAGGTGTGAGGAATTTCTGATAAAGAGGAGGAAAAATTTGTGCTCTGTGCTTGATTAGTGGGGCTGCATGAGTACAATCTGACTTTGGAGGCAGTCATGGAGTCTGTCCGTGATTGTGTAGAAGCATAGGGGTTCCTGTTCAGTTCCTTCAGAAAACAAGAGGTTAAGAGGAAGCCATTTCATAACACAAGTGGATGCTTGATCCTGCCTTCATTAGAGATCTCACCCTGGGCTCAGGGCTTTGATGACTGCCCAGTGAGACCAGTAGGGACTCTGGTGAACTCTTTGCCACCATCATTCTCCTTGAGGGAGATATGTCAGGAGCAGGCCACAGACTGAGCACTACACCTTCCCCTAAAATTCCACTGGGTGAACACCCTCTTGATCTATCCATGAAGCTCTTCCCTCACGGCTGAGGGGTTGACACAGGGCCTAGACACCTCAGTGATAACCTGCACAATAATTCACTTTCGTTGTAAAAGAATTTTTTTTCTTTCCATTTACTGCCTTTTTCTTCATGTTTTGCAAATTTTACCAGATCTTCCAATTATACATGTTAAGACACAATAGAGCACAACCCACAGCACAGTTCACAGTAGAGTGTAATTTTACCAAATCCTCCAATTATACGTGTGTATTACACAGCAAAATGTTCATTAATCCCTGCCATAAAGCCTTGGCGGCAGCCCTCTCTTATTAACTGACCTACCTAGGAGACATCATTCTAGACTTCTTCTCCTGTATTTAAAAAACCAGGGCCCACTGCCCCCTCACATCTCTGTCTAGTGTCAGAAAGTATTCTTTTGTGACCTCAGTGTCTTCTTGATGGTGAATCTGAGATGTGCATTTGGGTCGAGTCCCCCACTAACAGTTGTCTCTAGCATTTGAAGTTATGGTGGATAAATTATCTTGTGTCTCCTTTGAGCTGTGGCAGCCTTGGTCCTCTCTCTTCTTGGTAGGATTTCTCTCCTGAGCTCCCTTCAGACATCTCCTTTGGGGTCCCCACGTGTCTCTTCACTCTGCTTTGTGGGGACATCCTTAGGGGCTCTAAGTAAGGAGACTCTGTTGAACCCTGGAGTCACTGGGAGGTGCACATGATTAGTTCATTTGGCTTCTAAACAAAAGGCTGGTGGTTCAAGTTCTCCAGAGACTGGAGTTCTCCTTTTGAAAGATCAAAGACACCTCATGGAGCACAATCCCTTCTGGCACATATAGGTTACCGTGAGTCAGAATCAATTTATTGATTACTGGCTTGAGTTTTTTCTTTTTCTGAGCCTGGACAAACTTTACCAGCTCAGACACCCTACCTCATTCAGCAAGAACACTCCAAGTTCTGGTAGTGGAGAAATGTGGGCCTCTCTCTAGCTTTCAAGTTATCCATTGTCTGGGAGCTATAGAGTGCTATTGGGCTGTCTTAGTATACAGATAAGAACCATTTGTAACTAGTACATCATTTATATGGAGAGTAGTTAAGCCTCACAATATTTAAGGAACCAACTGATTGGTTTCCTTCCACAGTTTAAATTAATCCCCTTGCAATCTTAGCCAATAGTTTCTTTATATAAAGACCTCTGTTAGTCTTGTGCCCTGGAGTTGAAAGATGTGGGTGGATGTTGTCTGCTGGGTGAGAAGGCTCACACAGGCTGGGGAGCACCTGGATCCTATTGAATGTTTGTGAGCCTTTCCAGGGTCAAGGAGACCTTGTTAGTGATTACAGCTGTAATGAACTTGACAATGCTGCTCAGAACAGCACAGCACTGAAAAAAACCTCCTGCAACTCTACTCATGCACATTTAATGCTCACAGCCACTCAGTGGGTCTGGAGGGAGAGGTTATCAATTGTTAAATGTAACCTTAGCTTTACAACTGGGAAGTAATTATCAGGGAAGTGAATTGAATTGACTGGGATGGAGTGAAGATGTGGCTCAAAAATGCAGACAAGCCTTTGATTCCAGGCTCGAGTCCACCATTGTGCCTACCCTCCAGGAATTTAGAGATGGGAAGAAGGTGTAACAGAAGCATCCAAATTAAATTTCCTGGAAAAAGAGGCCCTGATGGACTCTAGTCTCGGGTGAAGGTGCCCTCATTGGAGTGCTTGTGAGAGGAGCTGGCTGTGAGCTGGGAGGCATTCTCCTAGATCAGGGTGTGGGGACTTGGAGAGGACAGGTGGGAGAGGGAATTTCCAGGTGCCCAGGGCTACCTGGGACACCAGATTAATGTGTTGGCTGGGAAGCCTCTTTAGATCTGCCCACAACTCCTCTCTGGTTTTTTCCTTTATTTCCAGAACCAATTTAACCCCGGGAGTCCCCAAGAAAGCCCGAGAGGATCCCCTGCCTCTACCCTCAGACCAGCATTCACTCCCTTTCCTGTAGGTTGGTTCCAGCTGTTCAGATGATAAAGGATTTGTCCTCCGTAGACAGTGCTCCTGGCCCCGCCTCAGGAGGACCTGCTGGGGCTGGAGTCCCTTGGAGAGAGGTTGGCACTGCGCCACTACACTCTCTCGTCTGCCACACCTGGTAGAATGAGCAGCTGGGTGCAGGCTTGGTGTAGGGCTGGGTCAGACTTGGACAGTGGCCAGAGAATCAGGGCCTGATCCATGGGTTGGCATTGCTCGGGGTCAGGCTTGGGCCAGGGCAGGGGTTCAGCTCAGCCCAAGTGTGGGGTCCGTGTTCATTCTGAAGGAGAGGACGGGGTTAGGGGTTATCTTATCTTTTTCTTTTCTTTTTTTTTTGAGGAGCAGAATTGACATCTGTGCGTCTCTGGGAAGTCAGAAAGGAGAAGCTGAGGTTTCAGGGGCTGACACCGATTGTGCAGGGAACCTAAGTTCTGGATTCATTCCCAGTGGGTTTTCCATTCTATAGGCTGTGTATCTGAGAGGTGCATGTTGGGCTTGGGTTTGGGGCTGCATCAGGAAGGGAAAAACTCATCTGTATTCTCTTTTCTTGGTGTCCGACCAAGAACAGTCTCTGTGTTCCCTAAGGTTAAAGGAAGGAGGAGAAAAGGCCAATCTGTGATGTCAGGAGATGGTTCAGTAGTGTTGTGATGTCACTGAATGTCAGGACAGATGACCCTCACCTGCAAAGGGCAGGCCCTTCCTCAGTTAGGCAGGAAAAGGGCAGCTGCAAAGTTGTCATTCCTAGAACTCGATCCACAGCCAGGGGCTCCCAGGCCACATGGGGCAGTGGGCAACAGGAAAGTGTCACCCCATTTTCCAGATGAAGAAACTGAAGCTCAGAGAAAGAAAATGATACTATCAAAGATTACCTAGCTAATCAGTGGCCAGATGGGGTCTTGAGTTCAGGGACCCAACTCCTCCGCTCTGGAATGGGCCAGAGTACAGAAGGGTCACCGTCCATAGGCTGTGGAGGGTGGTGGGCAAGGACACTCCTCAGATCTCCTGAGCTCTGCTTCTGCCAGGATACTGGTGTGATGGCAGGTGCTTTCTTGGCACTGGGCTGGGGTGCTGAGCTTAGCAAGCCAGGTTCATGAAGAAAGTGCAGCTCGATCTAGCATGTTCTGTGGGCCTCTGGAGTGCCTAGCATCACGAAGACCATTGAGGTGGCTGAGAGAGGCCTGCTGTCCTCACTGGGCATCCTACAAATGTCTCTATCTTGCCACCGTTTCTGGGTAGCAACTCTGGCAGCCCTCAGCATAAAGGGTGCTGAGGCATTCCTGGTGCTTGGTGCAAACTGCAGACAAGCAGGAGTCCCTAGAAAACATCGAACAGGGTCCTGTATATAGATGTGGGTGCTGAGACCTGGAAGTGGTCTTAACCCTTCTCTGGACACACAGCAAATCTTTGCAAGGCCAGGTCTGGAAGCCTGGGCTCCTTGCCTTCCAGGTGTGGACATGGACCTTATACCTGCCACAAGGTCTCCAGCCTTCTGCTTCAGGCTGATCTCATTCTCGAGGCTTCTTCCACCCCAGAGCAGTTTCTTACCTCCCTTGAAGCCAACCTTGTCTCTCTTGTCTCATCACATCAGCTACTATAAGTTTATGCCCATTAATTCGTGATTTTCCCCTTCCCAGTAATTATTATGAGTTACCAAATTCTAGCATCTCTTTCTTCCTCGTTCCTTTGTGCAGCTTGTTCTACTTTTAGACGAGTCTTGTGTCTTCTGCACACAGGCAGAAGGCCACAGAAGGAGGAAGCCTGCCTTTTTCTCCAGATCTGTTTCCTTCAGAACCTCTCTGGTTTCAGCCCCTTCTTGCTCCCCTTGTGGCTTGTCTCTCCCATCAGTCACAATCTTTTCCAGGGAGCAGAGCAGCCCAGTAAATCAGTGTTTACATTGACCATATCCAGGGCCTAGGAGGGACAGGGTGAATGCAGGTGCTTCAGGGAGAGAGATTTCAGAGGACAGCAGCTAGGTGGCAATATCTAGTGTTTGGGAGTCACTGGCACCTGGACCCTGTTTTCTGTGATCCAGGCCAAGGAGGAGGGGTCACTGTGGTCAGTAGCTACCATAAGAGACTCTCCAGCCTTTCAAATTCTGAAAAAGACAAAGATGTATTTGAGGAATAGAATCGCTGTCATTCTGGAATACCCAGTTAAGCTTCTGGTTTTTTATTGTCAAGAGGAACGTACTTCTTTCTGTATGTTGTCTTTGCATGTCTATAAAACACACCATTGACATTCGTTAAGGACACTGAAACAATTTCTCAAATACATGACTCCCTCTCACTAGTCCTTCACAAGCTCTCAGAGACATTTGGATTTCCTGGAGGATCTTTTAAAATCACTAATTGTGAGTTAGCAGATCGAAAGGCCCCAAGCCACCGCATTTCTCACCAGCTCCTGCATAATGTCAATAGTGAAGATCCCCGCTGCATTGAGAACAGAGCATCAGGAAGCCTTCCCTACTCCTGCCTCAGTGTGGGGTAGACTGAAAGGTGCCATTTATGACATGAGAACTTTGAACCTGACTGTGAGGCACAAGTCACACATACAGGGGCTGTGGCCTTTGAAGTGTGTGATTCAGATTTTTGCCTCACTCAATACATCACATGTTGAGGACCCTCAGGCTTACATTGTGTCATAAACAACAGGACCACAAATGCCCAGGGTCTCTTCTCTCTGTACATATCTATGCTCATTTGTTCCAGAGCCCCGTCAGATTTCTCAGTTCTAAAGAACTGAGCAAGCCCCAGGAGCCTGGCTGAGCGGGATCCGTGAAGCAGACAATTCTTTTTTTTGTAGTCTGTCAATTTGGCATAGCTCTCCCATGTCTGTCAGAGAAGGGAAGGAATAACCCACAGCTGGAGCCAACCCAGAACTGATAGAGCCATGAGGACTAGAAAGAGCAGAAAGCAATGGACCCTCTCTGCCCTGTGCCTCAGGAGAATTCAGAGATAGACTGGCTCCCAGTCCACCTGTAGACCATCCAGAAGATGACACCTCTCTAGAGATAATAACACTGTCCCATGATACTCCTCGGCCTCATTTCCTGCTTGTATTAAGATGTCTAATCTGATGTTGTCCAGTGGATCTTTCCAAAAGGATGCAAATGTTCTACATTGGCACTGCCCAATAGGTAGCCACCAGATTTATGTGGTTAATGGGTTCTTCAATTGTGGACAGTACATCTATTGGGCTGAATTATATTACTTAATCTTAATTCAACTCAAAAGAGCTACATGTAGGTAGTGGTCGACATATTGGATAGTGCAAGTCTAGATTAATAATTATTAAGACCTGGACATCCTGTGCCCTCCTTCCAAGATTAACATTGAGGTTTCTGGGTCTGGGAGAGAGGGTGGTGGCAGAAGAGAGAACTGTAGAGGTGCAAGACCAGTAGACACCATAATTAATCTTCCCAGTCAGAGTTCAAACTGGCCTGACTCCAGGCTCAGTCAGGACATACAGTCTGTGAAATCCCTGGTGTGAATCCAGCCGCCTATCTCACTGAGTGACCATGACCTCTAGCAGGACCACACTGTGAGCTTAGAGTTGACTCTGGTGACAGACAGCCTCTGGCTCCCTGCACAAGACCCAGTGCCACCTTCCAAGTATACTCATTCCTTCTGAGACCCAGTTCAGACCCACCCCACCTCACCTGCTAGTGGCAGCTCTGTGTGTGTGTGTGTCTCCGAGCACACACATGTACACATATGAACCTACGTTTCTGTGTTCAGAGATGACCCTGTCTTGGCCTCAGCTTCCTTGTTGTCATCCCATGATTGCCCTGGCCTCCCTCTTTCCCCCACCATGAACAATGATCACCCAGACCTGACCAGTTCCTCCAGCTGTCCCAGTGCCCCCAGCTGACAGAAGTGCTAATCTTGTCACACCCAGCAGCTGCGTGCAGAAATGCTACTGCAAGCCACAGCGGGCTCAGCAGCACTCTTGCAGGATGTCAGAACTGTCCGCCATTACTCTGTAAGTGTGTGTGGCCGTGGCTGTGGCCAGGGCCTCTTGGAGGGAGGGGGACGCATGCCGCTGCCGCTGCCGCTGCTGCTGCTGCTGCTGCTGCTGCTGCTGCTGCCGCCTCAAGCTTGTGTCCTGCTGGGCCATAGGTCAGTGAGTAGAGAGCTGGCCTGTGCCTCCCAGCCCGATCCGTGCCCGCCTGTTGCATGTTGACGTTCTGTGTGTCTTGTGAGTCCTCTACAGCCTATGCCAGAGGCGGGTGGGGAGGGTGCAGGATGGAGCTGTGGTCATGGAGGAGAAAGTGGTGCTGTAGCTTCTGTGATGTGCGGCTTTCTGCAATCCCCAGTACTCTTCTGGGCTTCAGTCTTTGCAGCTACGAATTTATGCTCATAGTTTTAGAGCTTGAGTTTGTCCAGCCCCTCCTCCTGCACTGAGCCAAGAGCTTCCAGTGGTGTTATCATCTGTGCTTAATGACAATAACTCCTTTAATCCCCACCCCAGCCCTGCAAGGTGGGTGCTTGGATTATCTCCATTGTACAGACAAGAAAACATAAGCACAGAGAGGCTTTAGGATGCTCTCAAGGTCGAATGATTGGCAGGGCAGGGATTTGAACCCAGGATCCCTAAGTACTCTGCCATAATTATTTGAGAGGGAGCATCAGCCTCTATTTGGGCACCTTTGTAAGTGACAAGCTCACAGCTCACTGGGCAGTTCATGATAAACTGGGCAATGCTGACCCGTAGAAGCTTGTCTTGCTATTTGGGGCTCTTTTGTCCACTGATGGCTTCTCAGGGCAGGAGGATGTGAGGCAAAGTCTCTGTCATTGTCTCTGAGCAAATCAGGAGAAAATTTTTGTCATTGCCCTTAAGGAAGGATCTTATGTTCCTGTTCTGAGATCTCAGGTCAACCCTGAAGTAGAAGTTCCAGACCCCCAGACCCTAAATATCTCCTTATCTGGCCCACTGTCCTCTGTCGTGGGGCCACAGGATGACCCGGGTCCTCAGCCTTTCTACGCCCTTGACTTTACTGAGGCTGCTTCAGGATGGACAGGGATGGAAGGTGCTGCCTTTGAATTCTGATGTCAAACACCTTTGCTGCCAACCTCTTGAGAGCTGGAGGAGAAATTTTGGTTGCTTCTTTTGGTTCCCAGAAGGAGCTCTGGTGGCCTAATTGTAAGAAGCCGCACTGCAATCCCAAAGGCACATGGTTCGAACCTGCCAGTAGCTCCACAGGAGAAGGATGAACAGTCTACTCTTGTGTGATTAACTGCCCATCTGAAAACCCACTGGAGGGTCAGTTATGGGCCAATTCCCACTCAGGGACACAACACAGAAACAGCACTGCACACTGCAGGCACAAGTAGATGGGGACTGACCAGCTTATGGAGAAGAAGCCTGGAGTGTGGAAGGCGAGAGCCGAGGCCATAGGCACAGTCAGGCCCACTTTCCTGCCTCTCTCCCTTACGTTAATCTTCTCTTTTAAAGTGTCCCCTTTGGCAGGGCTCCAGAGGAACCCCTAGATGCGCAGGGCGGTGGGGGGGGGTTGCATTTCGAGGCTACCTTCCTCTTTTTGTCAGAGATCACTCCTCCTGTAAATGCTCCTGCTCTCTTCCTGGGCCCAGACACTGGGTAGCCAGCTGTGAATGAGGCCTGAGCCAGCTCCTTGGAGCTCCTGGCCATGCTCATTTTCAGGGACTCCAAGTTTCTCTTCTAGCCTCCATGGCTCAGGTGGCATGTGAAGTGCTTGGCTAGCAGCTCAAAGGCTGGCAGTTCAAATCCACTCAAGGATGCCTTGGAAGAAAAGCCTGGTAAACTGCTTAAAAAAATTCAGCCATTCAGAACCCAAGGAAGAGTGGTTCTGCCCTAGCATGCAGGAGGTCGCCATGAGCCAGCATCGACTTTGTGTGGTTTGCCTGTTTTAGTGATCAATTCATTCCTTCCTTCACGGAACAGGCATTTTCTGAGCACAAGTTCTCACGTTCCAGGGGTGGTGACAGACATGAGTAGGCACTGGCCCTGCCTCAAGCACCACACACAGTCTGAGAGAGCACAGATGGAAGTCAGGGGGAAAGGCAGCACTCCAGGCCCCTGTCTAGGCTCAGGGGAGGCGCCCACCGAGACCTGTGGCAGGTGCCTCCTGTGGGTACAGCTGTGAGGCAGCCCGGGAGAGGGGAGGGATGGGTTTGGAGTCCAACTCCAGGGGCCTCTTCTTCCCAGGCTCAGCCATGACCGGCCTGAAACTCTCAGGCCACGCACCCTGTCCCCACCCTTCACCCGTCTCTTCTGTTGTTTCTCTGTCCTTGTCTCTTAATACATAGAAGCGGCCCAGGGCCTCACCACGGCCCAGGGTTCAGCCTCTTTAAAAATCCCATGTCCTCACATTCAACAGAGCTGGTTGTTGAAACACTTTCTGAGATGGGGAGAAGGAAGAGGCAATATAATGGTCTCCAATCTGATGGCCACTCCCAAACTCAGCTCTCCATCCCTGTGCAGCCAGCTGGCCTGCCCATCCCCATGCCATGTCAGAGGGACCTGGGCTGGAAAGGAGAGTGGCTGGCCACATCTTCAGGCAGGCCTGGGGGATCCAGAAGAAATCAGTGTGCTCAGCGAGCAAGATGAGGTCCCCCCCTTGCAGGATCTCTGGGTGCTCCCTCTCTAGGACAGGATACACAGGCCACATGTGTATATACACAGTCTAGAAATCTTAACTGTGAGCCTCTCTGACTCACAGCCTCAGAGCCCCACCTACTGTGGGCCTAGGTACCCCTCACAGGTACAGGGGCAATGTCAGGGGTCACAAAGGCCCTTTGGACCCTCCCTCCTCTACTCGTCACCACAGAGCAGGCATCTTTTCTTCCTCTGACTCACTTCCCTGGGCAGCAGATCCTTCCTATTCACTTGGCCCCTCTTTCTGCCCAGAATCAGTAATTCCTGCCTCTAATCTCTCCCGAGTCTCTCCTTCTGAGGCCCAGCCCATGTGCACACCTCTCCTGTTGTCAGCACCTCCGGTCAGCCGGCGAGTGTCCCATCTAGCCCGTCTCAGACGAGCCCACCGTCTGAGAGCCTGGGCTGGTCTTTCTGGCATGGGCCACGTCTGCAGAGTGGGAGAAGGCTTGCTGGGCTTGGAGACCACCATGCACCTTAAGCTTTCCAGGCTCCGCCCAGGGTTTGGTCCTAACTCACTCTGTGTAATGCATAGAAACTTAACCTTATACTCCTGTGAACATGCCTAGTGGTATCCAACTCCAGGGCTTTCTGTAAGATAAGACGTGACTTAAGGGAGTGGTGTCCTGTAGGCTGGGGGTGTCCTGCACCTCTTAAAATAGCCCAGGGAAGTCCTGGACCTTATCAGCTACTGCCTCTGCCAGGCTTCTGCCAGCTGGGTTAGGTGAGAATGAACTGTGTCTCTCTCAGCAGAGTTGTGATATAACCCACGTTTGGGACATGGTAAGGGGCTGGGATTCTCTGCCCTCTGTTTCTCAGATGCTCAGATATTAAGCCCCATCTCCTCAGAAGATGTCTTGCTTTTTCCTGACAGACGACTAGCGCGCTCCACTCTGCTGCTCATCCCGCTGTTTGGAATCCACTACACGGTCTTCGCCTTCTCCCCTGAGAATGTCAGCAAGAGGGAGAGACTCATCTTCGAGCTGGGGCTGGGCTCCTTCCAGGTAGGCAGGAGGCTGGAGTGTGGGGAGGACACAAGGGAGTCAGGGACATGGCGGTGTCTACTGGTTCATCCAAACACTTTTAGTTTAGAATGTGGGCTTCAGTGTTCCACTTCTGAAGTGAGATTAGAGTTAATCTCAGTGTTCCTACTTCTGAAATGGGAATAGAATAGACACATGCTGGGAGGGCCCTTTCTGTTCTGTGCCCTCTAGGCTCTTGTAGAAGACTCATGAATCTTTGGTTGACCCTGCAACTAGGTATCTAAGTCAGGCTACCTACCTTTGGGGGGGTCTAAGGTGGCAACTCCTCTTCCCTCACCATTTGCCCTGTAGAGGAGCCTCAAGAGATCCTCTGTCCCCAGCCTAACTTGGCATGCTAGGCTGTGTAGCCTATGAGGGCTTGAGATCCATCTTAACCCGGTATGAGGCCCCCCTCCATGGGATCTGGCCATAGAATAAGGAAGCAGCTGAGCTGGTGGATGAACAAATTAATGCATCACTGAAAAAATGAGCCAGAGACTGAATTAATGAGTCGGTAGTCAAAGGGATAATAAGTTGGTGGACTGTAAACAGAGTGAAGGAGCAGGTGGAGGGGTAGGAGAATGCATGATGACACGAATGGATGAAGAATGCGTGAGCCCAGGAAGGCGGGAATGAGCCTCCCTAACTCAACGGTTTGCACTAGTACTTGATTTTCACAGACAGTTACTCAGCATCTGACCTTGTTCTTCCCCTGCTCCTAATTTACCTCAATCCTTAAGCAAACTATTGCATTTTCTCAGTCTTGGAGAAGCTGGGAGCTTTCTAGACAAAGCTCCGATCTTTGAGTCAGAGTCCAAGAATCTGAGAATGTTGCCTCTGCTCTCCCTCATGTATTCTGGGGTCTACAGCTTCATTTTCCCTGATGCTTCTAAGTGATACTTTGAGACATTCTTTCATTTAATTTGGTTGGTGATGGAGAAAAATTCTAAGTGTAAGAAAATATATGCAGAACAGCTAAATACCTCCCTGGGCCATGTGGTGATGTGTGTTGTGTCTAGGAGAGCCAGGTGGAGGGTGGTGGTGGTGGGGAAAATGATGGTGCAGCTCTGTTCTGAACTGGAAGGACAGAGGAAGAGGAGATGGGGTCCTGTGCCCAGGGAACCTGCAGAGAGTTGAGACTCTCAGAACTGGATCCTCTGGGGAGTCCTCTGGGGTCTGGGGCAGTCATGGAGGGCTTCCTGTAGAAAGGGGCTAGAACTGGCCTGCACAGAGTGAGAAAGGAATGTGCGATCCCAGCAGGTGTCAGTCAGGGGGAGGGAGCCTTTGATTAACCAGAGGCTGTCATGAGTCTGGTCATCTTCATGGGGCAGGCCTGTGTCAAGTTGGGCCAGAGCCCTAGAGAGGGGCTCATCCAAATCGTCCAGGCCTGGGGTTATTTTTTCTGCTTTTCCTCAATCCCGTATACACTTTATGGAGTATTCTGGAATTTTCTTTGCTAGTGTTCTCAGGCTTATTTTTGCACTCTCTTCCTAGGGTTTCGTGGTGGCTGTTCTCTATTGTTTTCTGAATGGAGAGGTAAGACTCTCAACTTGTTGAGATTCTCAACAAGGAGGTGGGGCCATGTGGGGAAGAGAGTGGCCTGCTGGCAGCGCACCCAGACTTTATTCCCCAGGCCAGTGCTTGGCAAGCTCCCAGCACTTAGAGCAAGGGAACAGTCACATGGACAGAGGAGGCGGCTCCCAGCATCAGTGGACACCCTCACCCAGGCCAAGGACCTTTCCACGTGGCCTGCTGTGCAGCTAAGGCCTACCTCCAGGCAGAGCCCCGTGCTGTGAAGGCATCAGCCCAGTGCAGGGTGGATCTCCGTGGAGGCACCTACTGGTGGGAAGTGGTCATTAGACACAATTTGTTGTGTTGTTAGGCACTGCCCAATTGAACCTACCCATAGCGGACCCTCCAGTGGGTTTTCCAATTATACGAGAGGAGATTGCCAGTCTTTCCCATGCAGAGCAGCTGGTGGATTCAAAATATGTGCCTTCGGATTGACAGTGCACTTTAGTGAGTAGGAAGTGCCAACAAAAAAAGGATTAGGACATAGCACTACAGTTAATAAGAATAAGGCTATGGTGGGCAGGGCTGCTGAGTGAGGAACCAGCCTGTCCCCCACAAAACAGTCCCTTGGTCGAGTTGTGTAGAAGACCTCCCTGGGGGAAGCGTCTCGGACCCTCTAGTAAGGTTCCATCTCCAGAGCTGCGATTTGGAGTCTCCCTCTCTGCCCTGTTTGGTGGGATAATCTGGAATAGAAACCAGAACGGGGTATTGAACAGAAGTGGGAGCTCCTGATGGGGGTGATTGCAGAGGACAGGAGGGGTGACTGCACCACACCACCTCTCAGCTGTGTGACCTGGTGACCTCAGCAAGCCTGTCCCCTTCCAGAAGGTTAGGCTCAGTGATCTCCAGAATTAGCTACAGGACAGTCGGCGTACAATGGCAGGGCTCCATCACAGAGGAGAAACAGTGCAGCATGTTGAGGGCCTGGCTCCATCCGCTGCCCGCCATGATGACAGAGCAGACAGGCGTCACTTCTTTCTGCTCTGCATGGAGTCGGAGGACTCACCAGGACTCGTCAGCTCTGACACATCTAGTCTCAGGCCTGCAGTAGGAGTGGGAGGCAAAAGCAGCGAGGGGGTAATTGGCTAATAGCCCGCGGTTCTGCACCAGCAGGGGCTTTTGGCTGAGCCGAGGCGGAAGCCCACCCTTCACGGCTCACCACACTGAGAGCTGCGTGGGGGTCTGCTCATTCTCTGGGGCTGCCCACCGTGACTACACATTGGAATCACGTGAGGACCAGGTCCTACTCTTGAGATCTCGATGTCCTTGTTTGAGGACTTGATTCCACATCTCCCCAGCTTGGCTATTTGGAAACTTGTTGGGTGATTATAATGTGCGGCCCACTGCTGAGGTCAGCTCAGAGTGCGATCCTTTCATTCCCTGACCCACGTGCTCCAAGAGCCTTTTGTATAGAGATTCCCTGAAAGATCCCAGGCTCTGGCTATTTTTACATACCATCAAGTCGAGTGATAACTGAACTGATAGTCAACCCTCCAGTGGGTTTTCAGAGTTTGTGAATCAAATAGGAGAAGATTGTCTACCTTTTCCTTGCTGAACAGCTGGTGGATTCAGATTCCAGACTTTATCACTAGGCCCCCAGAACTCCCCTGGGCTCTGTCTAAAGAGTGTTAAACACCAGACCAGAGGGCTGTAGACACAGTCAGCCGCTAGGGCTCTTTGCCCAGACAGCATCGTGGTCAGGGGCTGTTGAGGCTGGCTCCTCAGTGCTGGTCTTTCTAGTCTGCTGAATGGCTCCTCCAGGGTCTGCGGACTGCAGGTGGGGAGTTGGTGGAGAGTGGAGGGTGCTGGACACGGCAGAGCCAGTGGTGGGGGGCACGTGCCTGGCGGTGATCACCAGCTTTCTCCCCGCAGGTGCAGGCAGAGATCAAGCGTAAATGGCGGAGCTGGAAGGTGAACCGCTATTTCACCATGGACTTCAAACACCGGCACCCATCCCTGGCCAGCAGTGGGGTGAACGGGGGCACCCAGCTCTCCATCCTGAGCAAGAGTAGCTCCCAGATCCGCATGTCGGGCCTCCCGGCTGACAACCTGGCCACCTGAACCCACTCTCCCCTCCTTCTCTCCTCTATAGCACAGGCTGGGGCTGTGGGCAGGCGGGCAGCTGGCAGGCAGCCGGTGGCCCACGCATGTTTGTGCCTCTTCTCTCCCCTTGGGCAGGCCCAGGGCTGGGAGTGCGGCTCCTTGAGGGGGGAGGAGGTGCAGGGCACAGACTGCAATTTCCCCTCCACATTTTTTACACAGATCCCCAATCCACCCTGGTCCTCTGGCCTCTGACTCCAGATCTGTAAATAATCCTCAAATTTGGAAAGGTTACCACATCTGATCCCCCTTTGTCCAGTGTCCCTGCTCACCTCCAGCCACGTCCCCAGCTCCATTCTGCTGTGTCTTCACCAGCTATGGTGTTGGCCTGACCCCGTGCGTGAGGCCCTGAGAGATGAGGCTAACGAGGTCTTGCTGTGGGGATGGCCCTTGCCTGCAGCCTCCAACACTGGGATAGAGGGGTGGCCTCTGCACAAGTGGCTTGCACTGTGAACTGCCCTTACTGGACCTGGCCCTAGTCTCTGAGCCTTCCATAGGCTTCCGTGTGCTCGCCTGCCTTCTTGGTGTCCAGGTACTCACCCTGGACACTGGCTGTGGGTCAGCTTCAGAACTCTTCCGTTCAGAGACTTCAGCTTTGATGGAGGCCCAGGGCCAGGAAGGCTCTGGTGCTTTTTATATAGCCCGAGAAGAATTGCTGAGAGCCAGAAATGTGATGCCCTGGAAAGGAGGTGGAAGGAGTTTGGGGATCCGTGGAAAGCCTTCAACTCTCCATCACTTTACCACACCAGCCCTATAGATGCCTAGGGTTTGTCTGGTGGACTCCTCCTGCCCTGTCCATGCCCAACATCAACCATGGAAGGTGAGAGACAGTTGCCTCAGAGATCCGGCTTCCAGTATGTCCACCACAGAGCCCCTAAGCCTTTGCCCTCCCTGTTTCTCTCAAGTCAAAGCCATGACTAGGATGAACCAATGAACCAGCCGCCTTCCTGTGATGTCAGTCAATCTTGAAGCCCCTTCCATGAGCCCAAATGCACCCCCTGCCTTCGCTTCATCTTGTAAAATGAGGAGCCTCAGCCACCCTCTCCTCCACCACTGAACTTAATGAGACCCCATGAAGACAGACCTCCTGCGTACCCTTTACACTGGATCACCAGGGGGCGCCAGAGTGCCCGGAGAGGAAGCTGCGCCCATTCTGCTCCTTTAGTAGATGAGGGAGCAGGGGCCGCCCCCACGCCTGCCTTGGCTCCCAGTGGCAAGTTGCACAGACACAATGTGTGATTTAAAACGAGCCAGGGCTAGGTTTGGGGAGGCTAGAGAAGAGTGCTGGATTGCATGGGCCTTGGGCCCAACCAGTTCCATGTCTGTGCTTGGTGTTTCTGTCCAACTGTGTGTGGAGTTGTTTCATGTTCGTGTTCTGGGATGCCCAGAGTTTGACTAAAAGCCTGCCATTATAAAGTGGAAGGAGCCTAGGGGACAGGTGGAGATGTTCCTGGAGAGGCCTTCGGTGACATGGCAAAGGCCTTACTTAACAGCTGTGATTTAGAGATGAACATGTAAACACAGCTGGGTCCCTGGCCTCTGACAAAAAGAGGGAGGAGGGGAACTGCCACCTCTGAGGGCACATTTGGTGACACAAGCTAACCATGGGTGTGCAGTGGCCCATCCCACACTGACCAACTTGTCTCTGACCTTGCTCTGGGAGCGTGTTGTGTTACTCAAGCGAGCATCTACTGGCCACTTTGCACTTTGAGCCCTGTTAGGGTACTGGGCTGCTGGGGGTGAGCCCTGGCCTGGGGCCCAGAGATCTGGTATCAGCCCCAGTCAGGCTTAGAGTGCTGTTGCTGTAGACACAATGCTCCAGCTTGGGGGCCTCAGTTTCCCCATTTGGGGCATGAGACATTGACTTCTAATGTTTCAGTACATCAGTAACTGTCCAGATTAGAGCCAAGGCAGGTGAAAGCGCATGCATCACTGAGCATATCATCTTAAAATGTTGATGTTTATGTGTGTGTGTGTGTTGTGGGGTCGGTTTATTTCCCTCATCTGTCTCATCCATTTGGACCCCTCAAGGGAAGCTGGCAGAGCAGGCAGTGTTCCAGCAGGAAGGATCAGACTAAGATGTTTGAACAGGTGCCCTGGGCATGATGTCGGACCTAACCACCAAACTGTGATGGGGCACTGTGATGGGGTAGGCAGGTTGTGGGAGTGACCTCTTGAGGAGGGACCTCATTCCTTCATCATTATCCCCCAGCAGCAAGTGTGCTTCAGGGTGGAAGAACTCTTGACTTTATAGATGTGTCATCACAAACTGGCAGAGACACAGCCCTGAGCCCCTCATCCAGTGCTGCTTCCTGAGCCCTCAGCCCGGAGCACTCCTAGAGGCTCGGGTTCTTATTGGTGTGTTTTCCTGTCCATGTGAATTTCTGCCAGACTTGTGAGCAATTGTGTCCAGTGTGTTCTAAATGTTCCAGGACCTTAGACAGCTGGTCTTCAGGGTCATAGGCAATGTGGGAACAGCTTGGGATCTGAGTAGGCACTTGCCCTTTCTGATCCCGTGTTTCCAGATCTGCAAAATGGGTGGCCAACTGCATCCCTGAAATTCTCTGTCTGAACACCAGCCTTCAACCCAGAATGGGTCCTGGGTGTGACTGAGACATTTTCCGGGAACAAAACTTGGATTGTGTGAAGAAAGGTGTGGAATCATGTTGTATGGCTCCATTTCTTAGAGGGTCATTGCTGCAAAGGAGGCTAGTCTTGTTCTGTCTGATCCTAAGGGACAAAACTTAGACCCATAAGAGGCTGGATTCTGTTTAAGACAAAGACATTTTTCATCCTTGTCACAATTAACCCAGCTCTTGAACAGTATTCAGAGTGACCCAGTCTAATATAGTCCAAGTAAGGGGTGCAGAGGCTGTCAGGGAGCCCCCGATAGGGTCAGAGGGTGGGATGTGGATGCATCTGTGACTTCCTGATGGCCCCCAGCATTGGGGGCTCCGTGAGTTTTCACAATGCTTTTCAGGTCAGCCATATTCTCTGCTCAGTGGGCATCACTGTGCTTGGCCTCTTGAAATTTAGGCCAAAGATCCAAAGAGATCCCTTCCTTGAAAACCACTGACACAGGTTCTCTGAGGGCTCTGAGATACTGTGCATCCATTATCCTCACCAAGGCCATGGCCTCACTTCCTTGCTCAGACCCTGTAAGTCCCAGCTTAAGAGAACTGGAAGAGGGTCTCTTTGAAATTCTCTGAGTATCTAGCCTCCTTTCAGGACAGTCCAAATGGAAAGCAGTGAGGAATCTGCCATCATAGATTACTGCTTGAGCAGGGGGACCTGTTAGAAGTGCCGTGAGTAGAATATGGGGAACCTGAGTTTATCACAGCTTTTCTTTTTCCTTTTCTCATTTTTCTGTTTGACCTTAATGCATCCCTGTCTAGATTGTGGACAGGTTCCACAAAGAGTAGAGCATTGCACAGGAGAATGACAAGACTCCAGGGTGCAGGAGGAGCAGTGGAGGCCAGCTTTCTAACGCAGCCTCCATCACCTGGCACAATCCAATGTTTACCCTCTCTGGGCCTTGGCTTCCCAATGGGAGTAAAGAAGGACCACGTTTGTCCAGTCTGTCACACAGAACAGGGATGAGGGTGAAGTGAAAGCCCGGATGTGTTAAAGTTGTTTGGAAACTACACAGCTGCGGGCTGGTTGCTAGCGTGAAGCCCCCCTGAAGGGCACCCTTTGCTGTTTGAGCCTTCTCAGATTAACCTTTGCCCCACTTGTAAAACCACCAGCACCAGGGGCAAGAGGGACCAGGCACACAGAATTCCAGCATTATGTTTGTCAGATGTTTGCGTATGCCCTTGGGATTAGGATAGGCTGACTTTAATGCAAGTGACTCAGCATTCCCATGCGAATCTTCCAAGGATTTGGAACATCTCACAAGTGGGCCACGGCCCGTTCCTTCTTTCCTTGAGCTCCAAGTCCTGGGATGTGTGTCTTGTTTGATGTCTGTCTTTTTAGCTTTGCTTCTGTGAAGGTTTTAGTGGTGCGATCAATCCCTGACGTCGCACACCCGGCTCTGCGCTCACTTCTGGGAGCTGGACCAGCCCGGGTTTCGGCTCCCACCATCAAGAGAAGCCTCACAGACTTCACTGCAGCCGCTGCCACCATTAACGCTGTGTTCACAACCAGGATTTTAAGGATGTACGATTCTGTAGATGATTCAATAAATGTCTTATCCTTTTTCTTCTCATTGCTTGACAGAAATGGATGGGTGGGGAGGAGAGGTGGCTGAAGGGGTGGGGCTCTTTGAAAATCTGATCGTTTGTAAATCAATCTCCAAGATCCTATGGCCTTCAGGATTCTAGGAGAGAGATTTAGAATGGGCTTGAAAACTAAGAGTCTTTGGCCTCAAAAGTACCTGCAAGAATTGTGCACCTTCAGTGGAACCAAAGGTCACTTGGAAGGCATGGGTTCTTGGGACATGGAGCCTGCCTGCTGCCTTTAATGCCTTATAGCCTTGTTGTTAAATGGCCATGATCACCTGGTCTTCCAATAGTTTGTCTGCTGTGGGCAGCTTAGTCCAGCTGCCCAGAGGTACACCATGGGCTGCCAGCATCCCACCCATAATGCTCCTGCATACTCAGTGCCATCAAGATCTTCCAGAACAGATAACCCGTTCTAGGTAACCCCAACTTCCTTGAGATTCTTTTGATTGCCATACCATCCAATACCTAGATTTATATTGCAGTTTTTATCAGCAACAGGAGCTCATGTTAGCTGACAAGGGACTATGTAAGAGCAGGGCAAGCTTGCAGTATTAAAGCTGAAGAACTTCAGAAAAGACCTGGGCCATATCAAACCAGGAAACCACGGAGAGGATGTGGGCGACACAGCTGTTAGCCCAGTGGTGCCTTTCTCGCTGGTAACCTAACATCATTACCCTCGATTCTGAAAGCAGGGAGCCCTTCTCACCAGCACGTTAGCTTCTTCATACACCTTCCTCA